TGCAGCTTTCCTTTTTAGGGACATGCATTTTGGAGACATAGTAAAATTATTGGAATCAAACGTTTTAATTTACGGTCTAAAGATAACGACAGCAGATTTGCGTAAAATAGGTCTTAAAATATGGGAATAAAAAATTTCCCAGTGAGGGCGGGTCCTTGTCCCTCACTCCACTGCCCCCCTCCCCCCCCCTTAGAAAAGTATATATTTTTTGCCTTACCGTCCATAAATGAGCCCTTACCTGCTGAGCTAAAATTTAGGGAGAACACTGGCACCATCTCTGTATTTTGCCAAAATCATATCGTGTTCCTCCTCCGGATCATCTATGTCTCCTAAAGCTTCAAACCTATTCCTCAGCTTAATGTTGTACTTCCTCCTATATCTCTTCACTTTTCAGTTTACTTACGTCAAACCTTTCCCTTACGTTCTTCCTCCCCTCAGCTCTTTCCAACTTTAGACAGATCCTCGTTTTCACAAGGTAACGGTCATTATATACGTCTGTTCCTCTCATTATTCTGGTGTCTAAATAGATTTTCTCATGTTTCATGTGATCTTATCCTTCCAAGCATTGAAATTCTGGCCCTACTTTTATAAACATTGGAATTTTAGTCTTGTCCTTCAAAACATTGACACTCTGGCCTTATTTCTATAAACATTGGAATTCTGACTTTATCATTGCAATCATTGGAATTCTGGCCCTATTTTTATAAACATTGAAATTATGATCTCCTTCCAAACTTTGGAATTTTGGCCCTATTTTTATAAACATTGGTATTCTTGTCTTATTCCTTCAAACATTGTAATTCTGGCTTTTTTTTATACACATCAGAATTTTGACCTCATCCTTCCAAACACTGGAATTTTTATCATGATCATCATCAAGTCTTATCGCTCCAGTAGGCGCATAATTCCTCCCTGCTGTCTGACTAACACTTTCTTTCTTGTGCAATCACTTTGCAATCACTTTTCGTGGCTGTCCTTCTCCAAGTAGTTTTTTATCTCTTCACTTTGCAGTTTACTTACTTCAAACCTTTCCCTTACGCTCTTCCTCCCCTAAGCTCTTGCCAACTTTAGACAGATCCTCGTTTTCACAAGGTAATGTTCACTGTATACGTCTGCTCCTCTCATCACTCTGGTGTCTAATATAGATGTTCTCATGTTTCCATTCACTAAACATGCTGAATCTGGTTACTGTCCTCCCATCTGGTGACCCCCAGGTAAGCTTATGGATGTCTTTTTGAGTGAAATTTGTTCCAATTTTCCCACAACCTCCTCTCTATTGGTATTGTTTTTGGCTACCTGAGCATTCAAATCTCCTTTCACCACCATAATATCATTTCCATTGCAGTCTGATGCAGTGTCCGGCAGCTGGTTGTAGAGTTCATTGTTTTCCTTATCCATCGCGTCATTTGTTGGTGCATATGCTTTTACCACTGTCAGTTTTTCATACTTTGAGTAGAATCGTGCTGTAATAATCCTTTTGTTAATTGGCATCCATTCCATCAAGGCTTCCTTTGCCCTTGCAATCATCATCATGGCTACTCCTCCCCCATTGTACCTTATCATTTTCTACCTACACCACCTTCTCTATACTCTGCAGTGTTACTGATCCGACCCTTTCCACCTGGTCTAACTTATCCCTAGCCCTTCAATCCCATACTCTTTCATCTCCTTAGGTACTTGCCTTACATGTGTTGTCTCTGCCACGGTCCTTGAGTTCCAGGAACAGATGATCGTCTGGCACTTGGGGGCTACTATGGGGCCTATCAGACTTTGGGCTTCCGGCTAGCTTTGACCCAAGAGCGTCATTGCAGCCCAGCAGCAACACCCCCCCACCCAACCTTCAAGAGTCCATCTTAATGCTGTAAAGGAGTCCTTCTCACCCTCTCTCCTGAGTATGTGACCTATTCAGTTCCAACTTCTTCCTCGCACCTCACAGCTTATGTCATTGATCTCAGCCTACTCAACCATTCTCTTGTTTGTCATTGTCTGCTGCCATCTAGTCCACAGTATCCATCTCAGTCACTGGCACTTGAAGCTATTTAGCTTCCGTTCATTGCCTTGGTGATCTTTCAAGTGTCACAGCCATATAGTAGGACCGCTGGAACATAAGTCTTCAAAAGGCATATCTTGCTTCTCCTTCCTATTCCTCTAGCTGCCCAGACCCTCTTTAGTCTCTAGAATGCGCCATGTGTTTTGTGCAGTCTGTGAATAACGTCTTTGCTACCTCCACCCTCCTTGTCTACAATAGCTCCCAGGTATGTAAACTCCTCAACGTCATCACTTCTTTGCCATCCACCACAATATTCTCGCTGCTACTAGCACACTCGGTCATTAGTGTCTTGCACTTTTTCGCATTAAGTTTGAATCCTACTCTGGCTGTTTCCTCTGCCAATGTCCCAGTCTTTTCATGTAAGTAATTGAGCGTAGATGACAGTAATGTAATGTCATCTGTGAGATCAAGGTTCTGCAGCACTGTTGTAAAATTCCACCTTATCCCTCTTCTCTGCTGTTGCCTTCATTACGACCCAATCCAAGCACAGTAAGAATAGGAATTGCGATATCACACACCCCTGTTTTACCCCAGACTTGATCATAAATCAGTCACATGTCACACTCCTGTCGACAACTGTGCACCCAAATCCCACGTATATGCCCGCTATCACTCTCACCATCTTGTCTGGTATCCCATAACCTCTCATGATATTCCATAGACTTTCTCTGTGTACAGATTCAAAGGCTTTTTGAAAGTCTAGAACAAAGCGCGCATACAGACCTGCCCTCCGCTCATTTGCCTGCTCGAAGATGTGTCAAGTGTAAAGATGTGTTCAGTTGTACTTTTCTTGGGTCTACACCCAGCCTGCTCCTGCCGAAGTCTCTTGTCTACGCCTTTCTTGATCCGCTCCAAGCGCATCCTACAGAATATCGTACTACTGACAGGTAGTGAAGTCACTCCTCTGTAGTTGTTGCATTTGTGCAAACTACGTTTCTTGAATACCTTAACAACAAGTTCTTTCTTCCACACTTTCCGCCACCTCAGTTTCTTTAAGCCTGTTGTAATAATTACGGACACACTTTATCTACCCAAGCCTCTTTCCCTGGCTTTTGTCCTCTTCAATGTCTTCCGATTCTACCATCCTCTTCCACGGGATTCGTAGGGTCATCTCTGTTTAACATTTCACTGAAGTGCTCCACCCATCTCTGCAGTCTTTCTTTTGTTTCAGTCCCAAGCACGCCTTGTTTGTCCTGAACACCTATTGCTGTTTCCGCCTTTCTCCAGTTATATACTTAGTAATGCTGTATAGCTCCTTGCTTCTACCGTTCTCTGGGGTCTTTTCTGTCGCTGCAGCCCTCTTCTCTACCATCTTTTCGTTTCCTCCGTAGGTCTTCGTTTCACTTTGTTGTTGTTTGTACTATATTCCTCGCTCCTTCTCTCTTTCAGTCCTTCCAATCTTGCACCCTCCAATTCCAATTTTGCCTTTTTTCTCTCCTTGATTTTTCCTATGTTTTGCTTCCTGTCCATGGCCTACTAAGTTTGTTTGACCTCCCCAAGACTTTGTTTGCTCCATCTCTTATGCTGCCAAAATATTCTTTCTCCGGATCATCTATGTCTTCTAAAGCTTCAAACCTATTCGTCACCTCAATGTTGGACTTCCTCCTGATCTCTTCACTTTGCAGTTTACTTAGATCAAACCTTTCCCATACGTTCTTCTTCCCCTCAGCTCTTGCCAACTTTAGACGTATCCTGGTTTTCACAAGGTAATGGTCACTGTATACGTCTGCTCCTCTCCTTACCCTGGTGTCTAATATAGATGTTCTTATGTTTCCATTCACTAGAACATGGCCAATCTAGTTTACTGTCCTCGCATCTGTTGGCCTCCAGGTCAGCTGATGGATGTCTTTATGAGGGAAAGTTGTTCCAGTTATGATGAACCCATTTGCACTACAAAGGTCACATAACCTTTGTCCACTGCCATTCATAACACAAACGCCACACTTCTCCATAACCATCTCTCTATCGGTATTGTTGTGGCCTACTTTAGCAATCAAATCTGCCATCTCCACCATTATATTTTTTCTGTTGCAGTCCGAAACAGTGTCCTGCACTCCTGCAGGTGGTTGTAGAATTCATCCTTTTCCTCATCCATCTTGTTGGTGCATATGCTTGTACCACGGTCAGTGTTTTGTACTTTGAGTAGAATCATGCTGTAATAATCTTTTTGCTAATTGGCATCGATTCCATCAAGGCTCCAATTCTTCATGATGGCTACTCCTCCCCGTTGTATCTCATCATTTCCTTCGTAAACCACCTTCTCTCCACTCTGCAGTGTTACTGATCCCGTCCCTTTCCACCTGGCCCCAGTTGTTCAAAAGCTGGATAACTCTATCCACTGGATAAATCTTTGTCCAGTGGATAACGCAATTGGTTTCTGTAACCACTTATACGCTGGATAGTGATTTATCCGCTGGATAGTGCTATCCAACGTTTGAACGTCTCTTTTGACTTATCCCTAGCCCTTCAATCCCATACTCTTTCATGTCCTTAGCTACTTGCCCTGCCCGTGTTGTCTCCGCCATGGTCCGCTCGTTCCAGCAACTTACGATCGTCTGTTATTTGGGGGCTACTGTGGGGCCTATTGGCAACATGGCTTCCGGCTGGCCTTGACCTAAGAGCGTCATTGCAGCCCCAGCAGCAACACCGCCAGTCAGTGTCGTTTCATTATCGATGCTTCTGGTCTCTGTAACAGTGAGTGTTTTTCTGTGATAGGGTCATTGGAACTCTAGCCGTATTCTTATTAACATTGGAATTCTGTCCTATTTTTATAAACATTTGTATTCTGACCTTATCTTTGCTAACATTCCAACCACTGGATTTCTGTTCCTATTTTTAGAAATATTGGCATTCTGGTCTTATCATTTTAAATATTGGAATTCTTGCGTTCTGATCTTATCCTTCCAAACATTGAAACTGTGGCCTTATTTTTAAAAACGTTTGAATTCTGATGTTATCTTTTTATACATTAGTTTTCTGGCGCTATTTTTATACACATTGCAATTCTGACCTTATCCTTCAAAACGCTGGAATTCTAGCCCTATTTTTATAGACATTGGAATTCTGATCTTGTCTTTTCATGCATTGGAATTCTGGCCCTGTTTTTATAAACATTGGAATTCTGATGTTATCTTTTTATACATTGGTATTCCGGCCCTATTTTTATACACATTGGAATTCTGATCTTATCCTTCAAAACACTGGAATTCTGATCTTGTTTTTTCATGCATTGGAATTCTGGCCTTGTTTTTATAAACATTGGAATTCTGATGTTATCATTTTATACATTGGTATTCCGGTCCTATTTTTACACACCTCGGAATTCTGATCTTATCCTTCAAAATACTGGAATTCTAGCCCTATTTTTATAGAAATTGGAAGTCTGATCTTGTCTTTTCATGCATTGGATTTCTGGCCCTATTTTTATAAGAGAATTCTAGCCCTATTTTTATAGAAATTGGAAGTCTGATCTTGTCTTTTCGTGCATTGGATTTCTGGCCCTATTTTTATAAGCATTCGAATTCTGGCGCTATCCTTTCAAACATTGGAATTCTGGCCTTATCCTTTAATTCTGATCTTATTCTTCGAATTATTGGAATTCTGGCCCTCTTTTTATAAACATAGGCACTCTGATGCTATCTTTCCAAACATTGGAATTCTGATCTTATCCTTTTAAACAATGGAATTCTGGCCCTATTTTTATACACATTAGTATACTGATCAAATCCTTTCAAACATTGCACTTCTGACCCTATTTTTATACACATTGGCATACTGATCTTATGCTTTTAAACATTGGAATTCTGGCCCTATTTTTACAAACATTGGAATTCTTGCTCTAATTTTATTAACACTGGAATTCTGAACTTATCCTTTCAAACATTGGAATTCTGGCCCAGTTTTTATAAATATTGCAATTCTGATGTTATTCTTCCAAAGACTGGAATTCTGGCCCTATCCTTATAAACACTGAAATTCTGTTCTTTTCCTTTTCCTGCCCCTTTTGCCTTCGCCATGGTCCTTATGTTCCAGCAATGTGGCCTAGTGTCCCAAGGTCGTCATTGCAGTGCTAGCAGCGTCATCCCCAGTTAGTGTTGTCTCATAAACTATGCTTCTGGTTTTGTAACAATTAGTGTTTTTATGGAGCAGGGTCGTTAGCCCTACACCGAACCCCCAACCTGGAGGACCAGGAGATCGCACTTTGTCTGGTCTCTACCTTTCGACCTTTTCAGCATGGGTGGCCCTACCTGGTGTACAAGACTCCAGCCGACATAACTCTGGGGGTCATGGCGACACGCAAAGTTCCATAAGATGGTGACCACATTTGAAGCATGATAAAAATGGCATATTCTGCTCAATACATATTGTTAGATTTCTGCAGGTATATCATACATTCCAGGGGCTTTACCTTTGTTGCATTGATGGCATCCAACACTTCCTTGAATTCCGGCTTTTCATGAAGAAATTCAATGTTTGGTCTCAGTCAAGTTCAACCTCTCCAGTTATGTTAGGTAGCTTGTCAAAAGTAGTTTGTAAATCTATCGAGAATCTCAGCTTTTTCCTGTATTACTGTCTCATCATCAAGGTCAGTAAGCTGTGTTGTACCCCTCTTCTGTGGCCCTTAGACTTCCTTCAGTGCATTGTGAAAAGCTTTCATATCTTTTTTTTATTCTGCTACCTGCTGAAATTCTTCAGCCTTTGCCTTTCACCTTTGAGAGTTCATTTCCCTGGTGTACTGCTGTAGATTCCGTCGAGTACCAGTCAGTTTTGTCCTGTGTGATCTAGTGTCCAGCTGAAGCTTTTTGACCCCTGCATTATTTCTTTCCTCTAACGGACCCCTCGCCTTTTTGTCAGTATCGTCGAACCAATCCTGATGTGTCCTGAGTAGATTTAGCTAAGACACTGAAAGAAGTGACAAGTGTACTTGCTTTTAAAGAATTCCAGTTTTCTTCAACAACTTCCGACTGTTGACGTTGCAATCCTGCCAAAACCTTGTCCATTTCCTTCTTCAACTTCTGTTGCTTATCTTTATCTCGTAGTTTCATTAAATCAATCTTGCAGGGTGGTTTGGCGGCAGTTTTGTTTTTTGTTTTTGTTGATGGAGAAGGAAACAATGGATCTTAACAAAACGTGGTCCGTTAAACACTCAGCGCCTCGCATGGGTCTTGCCAAGATGTCATTTTGGTCTACCTGCCTCTTTGTCACATAAAAGGTGCCAGTGTTTAGAGTAGGGTTGCATCTATGTGGTCTTGTGATAATCCTTGCTCTTGAAGGTAGTGTTTGTGATGACCAGATTGTGTTCCGAGCAAAGACCCAGAAGAAGTTCACTGTTTCAGTTGCACTTGCTAACTCTACGCGGGCCAATCACACGTGGCTATTTGTCCACCTTTCCAACCCTGACATTGAAGTTACCAACTGTTATCAGTTTATCAGTACAAGGGACTCTCCGCAGAACTTCTCTCAGACTGTAGTACAATTCCTTTTTAATCTCTTTGAGGTTGGTCATTTTTGCAGCATAGACACCCAGCTATGGTGGCGTACACATTTCTCTGCAGCGGAAGTCTCGTGGTGATTATCCTGTCACTGTCGGGTCTTGTTCTAGCCACTGAGTAATGGAGTTTCCTACTGCAAAACCATCTCTAGATTGTCTTCACTCTCTATCTCCTGCCACTCCGAAAAAAGCGTTTAGCCGTGATCTACCATGCTGTTGTATGACAGCAATCGAGTCTCAGTAGCGCTATTATATCAATATTGCTACCAATGTCTTCACTCCAAACATTTGAATACCGATGTTATCACTCCTAACATTTGAGCTATTGAGTCTCACTTAGCGCTACTTATAGTTATAAAGATGGTTAAAGAAGTGAGGTTTGTAGACGTAAGGCTTACAGCAGTGAGGCTTGTAAACTTTCTGACTGTCATCACTCCTGGGATTTGAATACCGAATATCATCACTCAGAACATTTTAATAACGAATGTCATCACTGCAAACATTTGAATTCCGAAAGTCATTGCTCCAAACATTTGAATTCAGAGTGTCTTCACTGGAACAATTGATCCTGACTGTCATCATTCCAAACATTCAAATTCCGAATGTCATCACACTCCTAACAGTGAATAGAATACCGATTGTCATCACTTCAAATATAAGAATTCCGAATCTCATTTTCGAAACATCACTCCTAACATTTGAATACCGAATGCCATCACTCCTAACATTGGAATACCGAATGTAATCACTCCGAACATTTGAATACCGAATGCCATCACGCCTACCATTTAAATACCGAATGTCATCACTGCTAACATTTGAATACCGAATGTCATCACTACAAACATCGGAATATCGAATGTCATCATTGCAAACATTGGAATTCCGAATGTCATCACTCCTAACATTGGAATATCGCATGTAATCACTCCGAACATTTAAATACCGAATGCCATCACTCCAAACATTTGATTCTGACTGTCATCACTCTTAACATTTGAATACCGACTGCCATCACTCCGAACATTTGAATACCGAATGTCATCACTCCTAACATTTGAATACCGAATGTAATCACTCCGAACATTTGAATACCGAATGCCATCACTCCGAACATTTGAATACCGAATGCCATCACTCCGAACATTTGAATACCGAATGCCATCACTGCAAACATTGGAATATCAAATGTCATCATTCCAAACATTGGAATTCCGAATGTCATCACTCCTAACATTGGAATAACGAATGTCATCATTCCAAACATTGGAATTCCGAACGTCATTATTGCAAGATTTAAATGAACAAAACCTAAAGCTCCTTCACTGTACTTGGTTTTATTGGTTTGCAATGTAATCGAACTAATTTTGTATTTTTTTTTTGTCTTTTTCTTTTTCAGTAAAAGCTTGAAATTCTAACTTCATTTGTATTGGGTTCGTAGACAAGAAAAATAGAGAAGGACACGAAAATTAATGGCAGTATAAAGTACGTATTGTTTTTCTGTTGTTTCACGAGTCCGTACATTATGTATTTCTCTTAGATGCACCCAGTCTCCAAGATATCAGTCACTGACGCTGGAGGGCACCCTGTGTTAAATATCCACTCCAGGGTGATCCCCGGTTCCACCTGAACTGTACTCCACCCAGGAGGGCTTCTTTATAGTTTCCCTTATTTCCTAGTGATATTGGCCTCACCCCCGGAGACTGATCAGGTGTCCAGGGTGGTTACCCTATGTGCCACTCGATCTTGTCTCACCCCAGGAGGGCTTCTCTACTGGTCCCCTTACCCTTAGATTTAGGCGCTTCCCTGCCCCCAGTTTTTTCCCCGTTAGTTTCTTGTGTGTTTTCTGTGTGATATACAGCGTAGAACCTTCATGCGAAACCATCCGCCGATTTGAAGATTTTATTAGCGATTTGCCTAGTCCCTAGGCCTCATTATTCTGCGCAATTCAACGATCACTTTTAAAACCTTTATACGATACACAGAAAAATAGCAAAGAAAGATGTGATGATCCTTTTAGTTGGTCAAGGCAGATTTAAATTCATTTTCAAAGTTTTATAGTCAATGGTCACTTAGGGTGGCTCGACTGGATTTTTTGAGGGAATACCTCCCAAGTTTGAGCATTAACTACGTCGCCATGAGTAAAGATATGATATGTTCTTGAAACTTACAGGGTATATTTATTGACCATTGATCTCAATTATCAAGCGGTTTTTTGACAAATGCGAAATTTGTAGACATGGACCAAATTACGTGCAAAAACTGTAACAAAAGCAGCTGAATGCAGGTTAATAAAATGTTTCTCACTCGCGATCGCCCAGAGCAATTCTCCTCTTTTCTTGTACGCAGTTTTCAATGGAATCAAACCACTTTGAGATAAAGCCTCGTTTCCAAAGCTTATCATTTTCTTAAAAAATTAGCTAATTGTGTGATAGCATGCTATTTCACTGTTTTTGATGCTTAAAACTTCGTTTCAAAATATTTCGAAAACGCTCTCATAGAATTTGATCAAACTTTGCCATAATTGAGGCATTTATATCAGGTACAAACTCCCTTAAGCGATTTCTTAAAAAAACCTCCTGGTACAGAGAAACACAAAGATAAATAAAAAACGTAATGGCGTCGTTACGTTGCCATGGCGACTCCGATTGCAATAAAATCCAGATCATAAGAAATTTTCATCTTTATGTAATACAGTTGTGGTAACCTTTTTTCCATATCTTTACTGATGGCGACGTAGTTAATGCTCAAACTTGGGAGGCATCCCCCCCAAGAAAATCTAGTCGAGCCACCTTACAGCTCGTTACATCTGTCTGACCGGGGTCGTGTTTTTATCACACGTGGGCTAATTTTGGCGTGTTCAACAAAACTAGCCTGAGAAAAGAGCCGACATTAGGCGACGCCACCACTGGTTTCCCCCGGAAATGACGTCTGAGAAACGAGCGCAGAAATTCCATACTGACGACGCGTCACTTCTGAGATCTGGGTAGTGTTTTTGATTGGTTGAAGCAAATTCCCGCGCAGCACGACCAATCAGAAACACTACTTACTTACTTATCTGGCTAGCCACAGCCCACATGTTTTTTTTATTGTTCTCTTTATTTAACCTCTGATTGGGCTATCGGATTGTCTTTTTTTGTTGTGGTTGGCTAACATAATTAAATTGAATTGAAAATCTTTGTAACACCTGTTTTTCGATGTTTTCTTTTGTTTTGTCTCTTTCAGAGTAATTTCCGTGGATTTTATGATCCGTTTCCTGACCAGGAGAAGATGCTGCGAATAAGATATTTGTTCAGAGAAGCGGTTACGAAGTGACACCCTGTTTATAGAATACCAAAACAGTGTAAGATATCCTGCCCCATTCAGCTATTCGCCATTTTCACATAGACCATAATGCACGTTGTTCTCCCCCCCTCAACCCCACCCGTGAAAAAAAATATATTTGGCATGAGCATTGTTTGCAGTTTCTCCTGGGTACTACAGTCATCCCAAGAGAAATCGAACACAATGGAAATGCAGAATTTTGGATGTAAACAAGCTACGCTGTGGTTTATGTGAAAATTGTGAATTAGGGACTTTGATCAAAAACGACGACGACTGCAACGAGAAGATGAATAATAAACGAAATCGCGATTACTTGAAATTGCTCTTAGCAGTGTGTGCAATCATCGTTCACGCCCTCGATTAAACGTCACTTTGTTGGAAATTTCGCGTCGTAGTTGCACCGAGGACGACTTAGAAATGTACCAGAAAGTGCAATGCCACGTGCAGCGTTGTTTGTTTCTTCCTCTTCGCCGCCTTGTGACAAATCGTGACAACGATTTTCAATGCATCATAGCGCTGCGACATTGTTTCGAATTGTCAAAACTTCGTTCCAACATTGTTGCCTAAGAATTTTCGTTGCAGTTTGCCTAAATGCGGATGGGAATCATTTGGTAGTTCATTTTCCCTCTTATCATGAATGAAATGTAGGGGAGCAAGGAATGGCGTAGTGGTGAAAGTACTTGCCTCCTACCAATGTGGCCACAGTTCAGGATTTTGAGTTTGTTGTTTGCTGTAATTGTCCATTGAAATTTGCTGTCATGACAACGAACCGGGCTTGTTTTAAGGCCTTTATCGCAGCTTTTATTTTTAAGGTAAAAGCAAGTTAAGGCTTGAGAAAGAGTTTGTCACTGGCATAAAATTAATATAAGATATTAGTTGGTTGTTGCCGCTGACGTCTTCTCTTTTTCTCCCTTTAGCTCAATTAAGCATTTGAGACATCGCCCATATTGGTCCTCATCAAGACACAACAGTCAGGAGCTGCTGACAGATTTCGTGAAATGCCTGCTGGTTTTACCACTGAACTCTTGAAAAAATATTTTTGCACAGATGGATGGTTTTGTATACCAAGAAAGGAAATAACGTAGAGTTGAATAATTCTTAAGGACAGTTAAAGACTGGTTTCAGTGTCTCCAGGCCAAAACACACTAAAAAACTTTGACAAATATTAAAGACATTTTTGTAAATATTGTATCACAGAAACAATCATTTCGCGAAATATGACGACCTATACGTCATGTAAGACTTTGTATAATGTCCTGAGCCACACCCACATTACAATCTGGGGACTGCGTCGATTTACGTTTTTTGGTCGGGGGATGGTTTATGTTGGAGGGGGTTCATGCTGGAGAGGGAAGGTTCATGTTGGAGATGGAGGGAGTGAATAGGTCAGATGCAAATTGCTACTGGTTAACGGAGCGTGAGTCACAGACAACACGGTTTTGTAATAGCCAATCAAGACTGAAATAAAGAGTTCGAGTTTTGTTCATAACCGATTTTTTAGTTGACAGGCGAACTCGAATAAATTGTTTCCTAGCAAACTCAGCGATTCAGCTTTTCTTGTTGAATGAGTTTGTCAACCATGTGTAGCCGCATAAGTAAGTTGGAACACATGTCCGATAAAACTGGCTATCCTTTGTCGCTGGACTTTTTCTACTTCATCAATCGTCAACAGAGGTGTAACGCTTGATTCAACTTACATGTTTGGAGCAATGTTTTAAAGAATACTGGTAATAGTAAAGCAGATATTCCCAGCAAACTGAACTTACAAGAAAGATAGCACGTTTAAAATTTGCGCTCTTTTGTTTTAAACACATAATAGATTCTACGTCAACCAATCAGGTGGGCATAGAGCGGGGAAGCCTATTGTTCCCATGTTATGAGAGAGCAGCTCATTAGTAAACCTATACCGAATTAGTATGCAGGAAGGTATGTTAATGATTTACCTAAACCTTTACCTGCTCGACACTATAACAAATTAAGACGGAGTCCATCAGGAAATTGAGTAATTTCAATTTTCAGTGGACAAAAACCTTATACCAGAATAATTTCAACAATATCGCATTCTTTTTACAATTTTCAAGGGCTATAGATATTTAACAATTATTCCTCGAGCCCGAATGGGCTCTGAGTCAAATAGCATGAGACCGAAGGCCGAATGGGCTATTGACTTAGAGGCCATAAGGGCGAGAGGAATAATTGTTTTAGTAAAATCCAAGTTGGTCAAAAATATCGAGACAAAACAACTTTAGTTAGCAAAACGCGATTCAGCCACCATTGTTTTGGGTCTTAAGGCGGGCGCTTTTCGCTACTAGTGGGCTATAACATATAGCCTAGTAGTAGCTCAACCAATCAGAACGTAGGATTGATAATAGGCCACTAGTTGGATTTTACTGAAATGTGTTATCTGTAATAACACTAAAGACTATTTCTCATGGGAGCCCGAGCAAATAAATGTCCAATTTCACAAGAATTGAGAAAACACAGGTAAAATTCTGAAAATTTCATGTGTAAGATGTCATTTTGTAAAATTTGACATTTATTTTCTCGGCGTCTCAAAAAACATTTCCTGTGGTGTTATTACAGATAACGAACTACATCTGTAGCCCTTGAAAAATGTAAAAAAGAATGCGATATTGTCTAAATTATTCTGGTACAAGGTTTTTGTCCACTGAAAATTAAAACTACTCAATTTCCTGATAGATTCCGTCTTAATATGCGGGAACGCAGTTGAATATTAATGTTAAATGGTCTGGCGCGTCCTTCCATAGCGAGTAGTCCGTAGTCGTCCTATCTTAAAGTCTTTATTATGGATTCCTGCCAGTGACCAATCCAGGGTTACCTCCTCAGACCAATAGTTCAGTCTTCATGCTCCGCTTTAGACCAGAACTCAGAGGAATTAATATTCCGAAAAGCCTTGATCGTTATTGTGTAGAGATAGGCTGATATCTAAGCCATAAAAAGCATGCCTTTGTCCAACTGGACGAGAAATAAAGCGACAGGAGAATGCCTATTGAACTTAAAATAGACTCGGATTTTGTAAGATCGTCTCTAGCTTTCACCGTATTAAAAGAACACGTTAAATACACGGAATCTAAGCATGAGATCTGTGCAATATAATGATGGTGCATCCTTGTTTAAATGCCATGGAAACACCCAAGAAAGAGTCACTGTTACGTTACTAGTTGGTTTATTTGTTATTGACTACAGCTGTAATTATTTTACAAAACGTTCACTTTCGAAATTCACAGTACTAAAGTAAGAGAGAAAAGGTTGTTTATTTGTTGGTTTTACAAGGAACGCATTACCCGGCAGTTCCATCTCTATAAAATGGCCTGGGACACGTATCATTACAATGATTTAAGGTTAATTTTAACAATTATTGCAACATATTTTTTACGATATCCGCAAAAACCAAGATGATAAGATTATTGGTCATTAATTACAGATTGCGATGATTGTAAAACGTTCAAATTCACATTTTAACTAAATATGTGAATAAATGTATGATATTTAATCATAAAAGGAAGTATAAAAAGGTTTCAAAACTATGCTCTGACTTTTGCACTTTTTCTAACAAATTACGCTAATCGCAAATAAATGTATCCTGGCACCACAGGCTACCCATGCTCTCAACTTTTAAAATTTAAGGTAAGTTTGTGTTTCTTCAATAGTGTTACGATGGACTTCTTGTAAGCCGAGCCTGCATGGGCTGCCAGTGACAATATCCGTTATTAAGTCTCAAAGCGAGCAACAACAGGATTTAACATACTATTTAGGTCATTTCGTGAAGACGTGGCCTCTTCACTTTCAAAAATTGTAGGATCCGGCTAATGCAACTGGGCAAATAAATCAGTGACCATTAGCTGTCCGATCAGCCTTGCCTTTATTTTAATTTAACGCAACTGGACTGGCTTTCCTCGCCCAAGGTCGTGTAACTAGAGGGCTCTAGTAACACGACCTTGGGCTGCCTGCTTGTGATGCATTATTTTATTCAAGTATGTAACCGTCATTTTGGAACGAACTCCCCTCTACAGTTTCTCTGTTTATACCCACTCGGCTACCTTCTCGCACGTATTTTCTCACTGCCGCTTTAATTTTCCTTTCTAGTAGGACCCTTCTCCAGCCACTAAAATTTTTCCCTCTAGTCAGTCCTTTAAGAAACAGGCTGGGAATTGCGCCACTTATAAACACGGCAATGGTAGACACAAGCGTCGAAATTTCGTACTCATTTCTAAAGAAAATTATAGAAGATATCGTTAAAAACAGAAATGTGAGAATAACAGCAATGTCGCGAAGCATCAGGCAGATTTCAGTTTATTGACCTTCGTGAAGCAGTGAGTGTCTGGTTTTATCTAAACAACCTTAACACGAGACTAGTCATGGTGACAACCTTAGATTAAGAACGACGGACATAAAATTCTATTTAAGAAATTGAAGGTACATTAAACTCTGCAAATTACCATAACAAAAATAGACGTTTGTTGTGACAACCACAAGGAAAGATACATAAGGAGTTACAATTTCTGCGTTTAGAGCTAATCCCATTGTTGTGAATCCTAATATTCCGGCAAAAAAGGTACATAATGTCATTACTCCATATAACAGAAATATTCCTACAAACAGCAGATATATAAACAACGGAATAAAGAGAAACCGGCAAAGGATAAACCACATGCCGCTAATTCTATCCCTTACGCTAGAGATCTTTGTCAAAATTTTCATAGAGATGCAACGAAGCAAGGTCATTGCGGGTGATAACTTAAAAGCCAAAAAAATTACTGAAACTAAAAGACGAAGCAAACAGATTACTCCCCAAACAAGGCAAAGGAATAGCGTGAATAAAATTGGAAATATAAGCCACAAACTGAACAGAGCTCGCCTCACTCATGATCCCCTATAATTTTTCTTTGAGTAGCAGGCAAGTTTTTTTAGGCCTCTTTTGTACAGGTAACGATAAGCTAACAAACGAATGTACCCCTCTTCCGGGAACAATTTTAAATGATAAAGGGTTTCTTTTCCAATACTAACAGAATGTAAGTATACTCTATTACATAGGCGACAATCAGTCAGGAACAAATCCTTCGGTTTTAAAAGCAAAACTGTTGTCCAACATGGTAGTATTAAAACGGTAAAGACCAAGACTGTGCTCGGTGACATCATACCAAGAGAGAGCGCTGAAAATTCTGGACTTTTGGAAATGGGCTGCTTTAAGCGTTCATTGATATATTTTGGCTTTAGGGCAAAAAATAATGCCAGATTAAAATAAAAAGAAAATGGAAAAATGAAAAACATTAAAACCGCCAACTTTAAGTTAAACGACATCTTTAAATCAGGCAGAAGCTGCACACATCCAAGTAAAAACGTTGAACAAGTAACCGGACTCGGGTCATCTACAGGAATTTCCTCGGTGTTGCATGACAGTCTGTTCTCTTCCTCGTTTTGAATTCTCTCATATCCATCTCTTATGCCAGAATCATCTGACCCGGTTTGTTCTTGGTTAGGTAATTCGTTTTCCAGTTGGTTTTCAAAGACATCTTCCTTGTCATGTTCATTCTGAAGATTAAAAATACTGTCAGGCAATAGCAGAAGAAGTGCCGGGCAATACAAAAACACAACAAAAGACAAACAATACAGAAAGGCTTTTATCGCTTGCAACCATCTGCTGCCCACTGTAGAAAGATCACAGTGAATACTTGAGACATCAGGACCGCAGCAATGATAGTTTATCGAATCAATGTCTATCATTGCAATACAGACCACCCCTGTCTTGCCGCGGCTTTCACTTGTTACATTATCCAACAGTGCTCTTCCCACGGCCATGTTCTGGCATGTTGAGTTTAATCCCGCAAGGCATCCACTAGGTTCATCTCTCAGTGACACTGTCATGCTTCCAACTTGATAATTCAGAAGTCCAAGGGATAAAATATCGAAATCGAACGGCAAAGACAGCATGGGCTCATTATTTGACCGAGCCCACACCCATCTGTCGGGAAGAAACTCGTCTGGCAAGTCCAGTGGGTTGTAGCTGTTGTTACCGATTTTTAAATTCAAGTAAACTACTCTCACACCTTTCTCAGAAGCCTTCAGTCGAAATTCTGATTCAAGATTTTCTCCAACTGGTAATACTTTACACAATTCAAAAGACGTCTTCTGTTCATTTGCAGCCACTGATACAAGAAACAATGAAGTTGCAATAAAAATGAGAAGAATCACGGCCATTTTCCCTAAGGCGGGTGGATTATTTTCCTTGGTTTGATTTTTTTAGAGAATATGATATCATTTAAAGGATCACTTACCATAAACGAGAGGTCATTCTAGGAAGTATCTGAGCATCAGCCTTTTACTAGGGGTTAGGGGAGAGAAAAGTTTGCTATCTCCTCTTTTCGCTTCTCTCTTTTCCTCCCTCCCCTTCCCTCCAGATACACATGATACTCAAGCTGAGGAAGTGTTTGTTTTCCTTGCATGGGCCGGTACTGTACACCCGTCCCCTAAGATACCTATCCACCAGCAGGGCTAGAATAGAAGTCTCCCACGCGGGCGTTTTGTTTTGACACGCAACGCTCCCTACCCCTTAAAGGGAGGAGCGTTGCTCGTTGCATCTCTCTCCTTCTCCTCCCCTGTCATCGCACCCCCTTCATACCTGTCTGAACGCCTGGAATAGTCGGGACAGGGACACAAGGTAGGGACACAGGGTAGCGACAGGATACGAACAGGGCATCATTTCCCGAGAAACTCGACTCACGACGAGAGCAATCTGCTCGGTACTCACGATCATCTAAGGCCCGGTTAAAACGTCGAATCTCACATATGCCGAAATGCATGTGAAGTTCGACGTTTGAATCGATTTAATTCGACTGTTTAAAATAAATGCGACGATTGCCGTATCTGCGACTGAAGCAGTCGAAGATTCTACCTAGGTTCGACGTTTGATTCAAACGTCACATTTCCCGTGTGTACGTCAAACTTAATGCAGGAATTTTAGCAAATTATTATTTTATTAATGGGAATATTGACGGCGAACAGAGTTAAATTCGACAGAGTTTAGAGAGTTAAATTCGACGTTTGAATCAAATGCGGGTAGTTAACTAGTTTCCTCAGTTGTTTCGCTCAAAGTAATTCTCAATAACTACGTTGCTTCAAGGTTCACAAAGATAACTTGTTGATGGTCGATCGAGATCAGTTCGCGTGACCTTAGTGTCGATCCCTGTTCTCGTGCAGTGCATTTGTGTGTAAAACAACTTAATAAACGCAATTATGTCTTTTGGTGTCCACTTTTGGCTCGACGATATCGAAAGGGATTTCTACAAAAAGTGTGAAAATTCTTGTGACGAACAACCACAGACTGGCGCGAAAGGTGAAGTAAAGAAGCAATGGTTCCGGGCGACCATGCACATCCAAGGGGCTTGAAACTTGGGAATGGTAGTTAATTTCTGGTAACACGCACTATGTCTATATTTTTTGGTGCCAAATAGATTGGTACTTCACTATATACATTTTAAGACTAGATTGCTTTTTTCAAGTATTTTCAAGCATTTTCCCAACACCAGAAAACGTTTTTGGCAGCTATAAAACATTTCAAATAAGCCTTTCCCCACCCCCACCCAGCCAAAGTCAACAATCAAGACCTTGCTAAATGGGCGCAAGCATAAATTTACATGCACTAATGTGACACAAGAGAGAATGAGCTAGATCATTCTCTCTTGTGTGACACCAAAAAGAAACGGAGGGCATTTTACACCTCATGCGCTTAGTTGTGCATGAGTAATAAAAAGGAAAGGTCTATTACAGCACACAATTGATAATGAAGTGTCCGCATTAGCGAGGTTGGCTTTGGGTGAGAATTTTTTGAGTGGGGGGAAATAAGTGTCCGTTGTCTGAATTAAGAGCAAATTTAAGGGCTTTCCCCAGGAGGGACAAAGAAAACTATCCGTGTGAAATAACGAGGTGTCCGCAAGGCGGGGTTCGACCGTATTGCTAACTAATGAAAACCGCAACGGTCGACACAAGGGTGGAAATTTCATATTCGTGTCCGAAAAAAATAATCGAAGATATCGTCAAAAACAGGAAAGTGACAATGACAGCCGTGTTGCGAAGCATCAGACAGATTTCATTTTGAATGGGAAGCACTCTATCACTCACGAACCAAAACAGCTTGGCTGGTATTGTCCTTTGTTCGCTACTACGGGTTGTTTGGAGTTCCTGTTGCCAGTATTTTAAGATGAATCCTTTCACCTCTATGTAACCTTTCTGCAAATTAGCATAGCAGAAATAAATATTTGTCGTGACAACGACGAAGAAAGCTACATAGGGAGTTACAATATCAACGTTTAGAACTAATCCCATGATTGTAAAGCCAAATGTTCCGGAGAAAAGGTTGCATAAAAGGGATAATGGAACAAAGAAACCAAAAAACAGCAACACTATGTATGGTATAGTAAACAAATAAAAAATTAGTTTGACCACTCTGGAGTTGCTAGTCATAGCATTGATCTGGTCATAATTTTTTCCACGCTAAATTTGACCAGAAGAGTAACTGGTGAAAAAAAAAAATAGGATTGTTACTAATGAAGCAAAAAGGAGGATCAAACAGAATATTCCCCATAAAATACCTGCCAGAAACAGCGTTACTAAACTAGAAGATAAAAGCCACAACATGCACAACGCACGTTTCATTCGTGGGCCATTATGATTCACCTTTAAAAAACAGGTGGAAAATGTCACTAGGTTCTTTAGACCGCTGTTATTGTGGTTAAGAAAACTCAACGTTAGGTGGTGTGCTTCTTTCGGGATCAATTTCAAATGTTGAAGTATGTTTTCTCCAATACTAACAGAACTCTTGTTTTCTGTAGCACAGGTAAAGGAGTTTCCGGCCATAGTACATAGAGTGCATTTCATAGGCTGCCGGTTTAGGAATAAATCCTTGGGCCGTAAAAACAAAACTGCCATCAAGCAAGTTAAAATTAATAGGGTTAATATCAAGATTGAGTAGGCTGAGAAATAAAATTGGTTAAATAAAGAAAAACGTAGATGGTATGCTATAAAATAAACTTACTTTTTCCGGATCCGGTATCTTCAAGATATATTCATTGAAATATTTCTGCTTTAGGAGAAAATATAAACCCAGCTTAATATAAAATCCAAATGGAAGAACAAAAAAGAGTAAAAACATTAACTTGAGGTTAAACGATAGGGTTAAATTTGGTAGCCGCTGAAAATGTTCCAACAAAAACACTGAGCAGGTTATCGGACTCCTGTCATCTACAAGAATTTCCTCTGTGTCAAATGACCTCAGTCTCTCTTCTTCCCCATTTTGAACTTCAAGAAGTTCATTGTTTTCATTGTTACTTTCCTTGTCACATTCATATTGAAGATCAATTATATCTTCTGGCAACATCAGAAGCATTGCGGGGGAATAAAACATCACAACAACGGATAAAAGAAACAGAAAGGTGTTTATCACTTTGAATGACATACGGGCCTCAACAGAAAGATCACAGTTAATGCTTGACGCATTGAGCCTACAACAATGATATACCATGGAGTCTTCAGAATTATGCACATTCTCATCTATCATTGCAACACAGACCACCCCATTGTTGCCGCTTTTACTTGTTACATTGCTCAACAGTGCTCTTCCGACGACCAAGTTCTGACATGTTGAGTTTAATCCCGCAAGGCATCCACTCGGTTCATCTCTCAGTGGCACTGTCATGCTTCCAACTTGATAATTCAAAAGTCCAAGCGATAAAATATCGAAGTCGTAAGGCAAAGATAGCATGGGCTCATTATTTGACCGAGCCCAAACCCATCTGTCGGGTTGAAACTCGTCTTGCAACTCCAGCGGATTGTAGCTGATGTTACCGACATTTTTGAGTTTGTCTAATGGTCGTGGGTCGTGGGTCGTGGGTACAAGTCGTGGGTCGTGGGTGTGGGTGTGGGTAAAAGTCGTGGGTGTGGGTAATGATTAAAAATTTTTAATCATAAAAATAAATAAAAAATTTTTAATCATAAATTAATAATTAACAATGTTCCTAATTTTTGTTAAATATTAATAATTTACAATATTACAAGTTTTTTATTTTTTTAACTACTCGATAACTAATAACATAACAAAACAAACATAACACAATGTATGAAAATGGGTGGGATTGGGTAAAGGCAGGAACCCATAGGAGCTATTTTCAGGACTGGTGTAATCCCTTCATAGTATTTTGAGAAAATTTGTTTTCGTCAAACGCTTGAACAACACGCTAAAAAGAGCAAATCGTAAAATTAAGGAAGCCGGGATCAGTTCCATATAAGAGTAGTCAATCATTATTTATCTCAATAAGCAATACGATGCCTATCTTTGAATTGATCCCAATTAGTAGACACAAAAGAAAAGCAACGAGTTTGGGGCAAAAAAACAATTTATTGAAAACTACAGGCTATAAAATAAAACCCGGGGAGGGTGGGGAGGGTAAAACAAGCGAGTAGAGGCCGCAAATTGAGACAACGACTAGTAAGTTGATGTAGCTTCAGTTTAAGCTGCACTTCATAATAATAATTTTAATTATAATTTTGGATCGGCAAATTACTATCCGTGCCAATATGACATTCTGCAAAGAAAAGTAACGAGCTGGACCCAGCGTGATACAGCATTGCAGAAAAACATTACACTCACGGACTAAAGACAATCGCTTAGTTATTCAGATCCAGAAGGCACTTTGGAGAAAATTGGAACCCTTATTCAGCCGTAATAAAAAAGCCTTACGCTTCAAAAGAGGTCAAAGAAAATGCGCTTGTATCAGAGAGCAAATCCTGCCTACCAGAAACAACAACTACAGTCAATCGATATGTGTGTCATGACCTCTCAGTGTGAAACATGCGGCTAAAATCACATTTGCTCAGTAAAAATGCGGAACCTTCCAAAGCATAATCTACCCAGCAGAGAAAAAAACTTTATTGGAATAAGCAGCATTTTGGTATGAGGTAAAGGTCGTGTAGGCCTACCACCCCCTTTTATTGCTATAAAATTTTTTGAATTTCTTCACTTTTTCGGATATTTAAAGGAGAGAGCTAACCTCTTCGTATAACTTAGAATATGAGTAAACTTTCGCGGTGCTGGGACACTCCATTCTCATTGTTGTTCGCGTTTTTTAGTGACGCTCTTCCGTTGTTAGTAAAATAAGTTTAGCTTTCGCAAGACCATTTGAAAGCGTTTTTGACCAGTTTATGGTGGAGACCAAGTTTGACAGCTTTCCTATGTCAACTTTATATTTGAAGAAATTAAAATTAGTTCAACGTTATTTCTTTTTCTTTTCGATTGCTCCTGTAGCCACCGCCACCCCCTGCGCTGGCGGTCGATGTAGAGTAACAGAGTAGGGGATGTGTTGTATAGTTTTCATACATCGTGTCATTTTCGTTTTGTTATCGAGTAGTTAAAAAAATCCAAAACTTGTAATATTGTAAATTATTAACATTTAACAAAAAATAGTAACATTGTTAATTATTAATAATGATTACAAATTAACTTTTAATCATTACCCACATCCACGACTTTTACCCACACCCACACCCACGACCCACGACTTGTACCCACGACCCACGACCCACGACCATTAGGCAAACTCATTTTTAAATTCAAGTAAATCATCCGCACACCCTCCTCGGAAGCCTTCGGTTTAAATTCTGATGCGATACTTTCTCCAACCGGCAGTACTTTACATCTAACTATACTGCAGTTCTGTTACGTCGCAGCCGTTGATATAAAAAACCAGATAGTTGCAAGAAGGCTTAAATGAATCACAGCCATTTTCGCTAACAGCATGTGAATTATTCCCCTTGTTTGTTTGTTTTTTTTTTAATTAGGGAGTGTTTATTTCCCTTGGGACCACATTAATTGGATTAGATAAGTGCTGTCCAATGATGGTAAAGCTTTTTTAATTCCTTGGGATTTTTTGGAAACCAGTTTCCATAAAACTAAAAGAAAGATATGGGAAACTATAAAAATAGGTTGTCGTGAGTAAACCAGCGAGACTGGTTTTTCTATGGACTTCAATCCTCGCCAAAAATCAAAGCAGATCACAACCGTATTCAACTTGTAAGTGTAACATTTGAGTTGAGAAAGATCAACAATAGATCTTGCAGTTCAATTTTGGAGTTCTTAACGCAATCGTCGAAACCTTGCCGCAGTTCTGTTCATTTGCAGCCCCTGATACAAGAGACAATGAAGTTGCAATAAAACTGAGATGAATCAGAGCCATTTTCGCTAAGGCGAGTGGATTATTTCCCTGGTTTGACTTTTGGAGAATATGATATCATTTAAAGGATCACTTACCATAAACGTGAGGTCATTCTAGGAAGTATCTTAGTATCAGCCCGTTTAGTAGGGGTTAGGGGAGAGAAAAGTTTGCTATCTCCTCTTGTCTCTTCTCTCTTTTCCTCCCTTCCCTTCCCCACAGATACGCCTGATACTCAAGCTGAGGAATTTTTTGTTTTCATAGTATAGGCTGTTAATATACACCTCTCCTACAACAGAGCTAGAAGTCTCCCAAGCGGGCGTTTTTTTTAATTTTTGTTTCGTCACGCCACGCTCCCCTCCCCCCAAGAGGGAGAAGCGTTGCTCGTTACTCCTCTCTTCTTCTCCTCCCCTGACATCGCACCGCCATCATACCTATCTGAACGCCTGGAACAGGCGGGACAGGGCATCATTTCAGGGGAAACGGGTAATCGGCTCCTTACTCACGATCATCTAAGAAACAAAAAGTCCTTTGTATTAATAAATAAAAGGAAACTAAACTGATCTACACCACATACTCAATTGAATGTTGCGGTTTAAGGTCATTCCCCTGAATTGCATTGCGCATCTCTACTGCGCATAATATTGCAACACTGGTCACGCAATCTTTCAAGATGGCTACCGTCGGCGTCGGCACCAAGTCGAGAGATAAAAAAGGTTTTTTTGTAAGTTCAAAAGAAAAGGGAAGACGAGAAAAGTTAAAAAATATTTGGAAAAGGAAGTGTTGTAATGTGGAAGGTGATGGAGGCGTTAGCACAAAAAAGAAATGCATCGAAGCCGGCAGCTGCAACTTTCGAGGCAGACGAGTAATCGAGTTAGACGTGCTGGCCAGAGCCCTGGATAGTGGTTGCAGTGCGTGTAGAAAAGCACTTCAGCTATCAAACTGCCAGGATGAGACTATCTCTGGGTTGGGTAGTTTTTTGTATATTATGTGCAGCGATCCGGAATGTGGAGAGGTAAATGTGTGCACCACAAACAAATCGCATCGTGCCGCCGGTGCTGGTCGCGGGCGACCAGTTTTTGATGTCAACACCAAACTTGCCGCAGGTAGGTATATTTTACTTGATTAGCAGCTTTTATCTGAACATTTTTCCAAGCTTCATCAAAATTTAACAATCATAATACCGTGTAATAACTAACTTTTAAATGTACATGTACTGTGTTTATACGCAGGAATGTTACACGCCGGTATCGGGGTAACACATGTAAACGCACTTCTCACGTCGATAAACCTTCCAGCCGTGGGACAAAACACTCTGAAGGCCAGAGAAAGAGAAGTTGGACCAGCGATTGAGGCTGTTGCAAGGAATTCATGTTTAGAAGGGTTACAGTTGGAGAAAGAGTGTCGGAGGACCGGGGACACAGAGCAAGTTGTAAAAATCGGGGTATCGTACGACATGGGCTGGCAGAAGAGGGGAAAGGGCCACAATAGTTTGACAGGTCAGTCCTATAATGTACATAAAGCCATGAAATAATGGAGGTATTTTTGCTTTGCCTGCGTGGCATCCATATCAGTAACAAGTGTCTGTTTATTCGTTATAAAATACAGTATAAACAAATTCACAACAATTTTTTCTTTTGCTTAAATAATAACAATAATAATAAGATAATGAAATAGCAGGTCTAGAAGTAAAACTCAATAGACCACAAAATTTCCATCCAACAGCAGTCAGGCAATTTAACATTTGATTTCCTCCAACAATAATATTATTATTAAAACCGAATATTGGAAGCAGGGTGCTTGTTCAAATCATCCCCAAAGACAGTGAATGAGCTAATTACTAGCATTATTAATACAACAATGAGTCATTCATTTAATTTCTAGAGGTATTGACTTTTTGACTAAAGTAAATAAAACAAGACTATTTTTCTTTCCTAGGAGTTGGGTCTATGATTGGGCTATCTTCAGGCAAGGTGGTGGGCTACAGCACAAGGACAAAGAGATGTGCATTATGTGAGGCAGCTAAGAGAAATGGCAAGGAACCGAGGTCACATGAATGTCGGATGAACTGGACAGCATCCTCCAAGTCCATGGAGCCCGATGTTGCTGTGGAGTTGGTAAAGGGGGCCATTAGTGCGGGTGCTCAAGTGTCAGTTATGGTTGGGGATGAAGACTCGGCCACAATCAAGAAAGTGAGGGAAAGTGTCACACATGAAGTTGACAAATGGTCAGATATTACTCATGCGAAACGGTCATTTGGATCCCATCTCTACAGCCTGCAACCACAGCATAAAGGAATCCTTAGTACTAAAGTAATTAACCACTTCTTGAAATGTTTTGGGTATGTGCTAAGCCAAAACAAAGACAATGTTGACGGTCTGGAGAAAAATCTGAAAGCCATTGTCCCTCATGCATTTGGCAAACATAATAAATGTGACAGTTCTTGGTGTGGGTTTCTGAAGAGCCCCACAACCTACAAACACAAGAGCCTCCCACGTGGCAAAGATTTAAAAGGTGAGAAACTAGAGGAAGATCTTAATGCTGTTGTGGACATCTTTGTCCAGAATTCGGAGAAGCTTGCCCCTCTTGGTTCAAGTCAGTCGAATGAAGCCCTCAACAACACCATTGGCAGCAAAGCTCCAAAAATTCGACACTACGGTGGCAGTGAAAGTAATGATTTTAGAGTGGCCTGTGCTGTCAGCCAGAAGAATGTGGGTTATTCTTATGTGGCAAAGGTTAGCATTAGCTTTACGTGACCACACATCTGCTACTACATTAAAGAGAATAATATCATAGCTTACAGTGCAACTACTAGAACTGAAGCCACCAATGGAACAATTTTTTTATTATTATTTTTGCAAAATATCCTAAGCATTTATCCATTGAAAACATAGCAGAATAAATAAGACTTTACGTCTTCTACAAAAGTGTACAATATTTGTTTAGATGGCTTTGTTTGTAGTAATTGCACTGTAATGCAATGTTATTGGATAACTGCAGGAAGATTTTTTTTGCAACCAAAGAATGTTTGCAGGTATATGAATAGTTGTCGCACATATAAATATTGGTACTTCAATAAGGTATATCATCACAGATTATGAGTAGATAAGAAATCAGTGTCAGATGTCTCTTATAATGTAACAAACAACACTTCATGTTCTAGGCTATTGCTCCAAACCAATTTGTCCTGTTATAATAAATTTATTATGTTCTAGGCTTTACACGAAATTCAGTTATCTCCAGGCAGATATTGTGAAAGATATGCAGGCAGAGTAGATAGAAAGATATCACTCTTAGCAGCCAGAACTAAGACTCGGGAATACAAAAAGAAGAGAAGGCAGAGAACAGAAAGGAGAGCGTCTAAGCTCAAGCAGTTAGAAACCAGAGAGGGCAAGCAGTATGAAAGTGGCCTAGGTTACAGACATGACAGTTCTGAAGAGCAGACTGAAATACCACCTCATACTTGCAGACCAGATATACAAAAAGTCTGTGCACCAGCTTGCATGAAGACAGTAGTGTTTGACTTGGAGACATCTTCAAGGGGTACCAACTAACTAATAATAATAATAATAATAATAATAATAATAATAATAATAATAATAATAATAATAACAGTAGTTCATTAAAAATTAAAAATCATAATCATTCTAATCATTCTTCTTCTTATCATTATTATTAGCAGTATTATTATTATTTTATTGTTATTATTATTATTATTATTATTATTATTATTATTATTATTATTATTATTATTGTTATTATCATTTATTATATAGACACGAGTGTTTTACTGGAAAATATGCCACTCGTTAAATTCATAAAAACTACATCCGGGACCCGAGTGGTTTATTTTCCATAATCTCACATGTGAGTTTATCGATGACATAATTTTGGTAATTTCCCTCTATTATTTTATCAATGTCATTTTGTCTATATAATAAAAAGAACATTACACGGCAGCTTGAAGATATGAATTTTATTTTCTCGTGGCAAAGACAATATTTTACTCACTCACTGCGCTCATTCGTAAAATACTGTTTTGCCACTCAAAAATAAAATTCATATCTTCGCGCCACCATGTAATATCCTCTATTTATTTTTAGTGCATTACATGTGAATGCTCTTAAAATATTGAATAAACATTACAAAAGAATAATGCAAGATCCTTTAATTTATTGTTTGGGAGAGCCAAAGCCCTTCTCAGTTTTTTCGCTCCTGAAAGTTTTCTTTCATCTCTAAGAAAAAAATTAAAACTAAAACTTCCAAAAAATTGTTTATGCTAAATTATTAGGTGAATTGTTTACAAATAACCAAATACAAAGACCAAAATTGTTTAACAATTAAAATTCCCTCATTAATTTTGGCAGGTGATGATGCTGAAATTTGCGAGATTGCGGCAGCAGAAGGAAAGAATACCTTCCAAGTTTACATCCTTCCTAGCAACAGCATAACACCAGCTGCATCAGCAGTCAACAAGTTGACTGTGAGGAGTGGGGTTCTCCACTATGATGGAAAACCAGTTTCCTCAACATCTTTAGCAGCAGGCCTATCAGATCTTCTTCAATGGCTCGAAGCAAGACAACCGTGTTTGCTCATGGCACATAATGCGAAAGCTTTTGATGCAAAACATCTGGTGAAGGCAGTGACTTCAAGTGACCTGCTTCCCAAGTTCTCTCAGGTGGTACTTGGTTTTTCAGATACCCTGCCAGCCTTCAGACAGCTGTTTCCTGATAGAGCATCCTGCAGCCAAGAACACCTAGCACAAGACCTCCTTGAGAAAACCTACAATGCCCATAGTGCATTAGATGACGTCCTCATCCTACAAGAGCTGGCATCCAAGTATATCACTGACAGCACTCTGTTACAGCACAGCTTTACAACATCATGGGTGGAGACATACACAGTGTTCCTTGGCCAGAAGAAACAAAATCTCAAAACCCTACAGCCACTCATCAGCTCAAAAGCAGTGTCGAAAGGAATGGCGGAGAAAATAGCAGCTTCTGGCTTGAGACTAAGCCACATACAGCTAGCATTTACAAGAGGTGGAGCTGATGGAATCTCTAAGGTCCTCACAGAGAAATTTAGCGGCAGGGCAAGGATCACAACGAACAAGAGAATTCTTGAGAACATTTCCAGTTTCTTTGCAGACAAGTGAAATGTAAATTCCTAATATGAGAATGTAAACAAGAAAACGATAAGTTATGATATTTATCATTCTGTGCTTTTGCTGAATTAATTATACACTTTGTGATAAAACTTAGCTAAACTTACCTGTATAAGCATGTACATTCTTAGTTGACACTGACAAAACGTATCCGGAAGTCACCAGGATTCGTCATGCAATATCTCCTGGTTTCTTGTACGGATCCCCAAATGAAATTTAACCTATTTTTCCAACATTAAGAATAGTTTTTGACCATAGTTCGGTTTCTGGAGCATTTTCAGTTTACACGTATTTCATTACCCACAAGACTATCTCGTTATGAAGGCGAATTTCGAAGGTCTGTACTTCATGCAAGACTTAGTAGAACGTCCTGTGCCACACCCATATTGTACCTTCGCGCTGGGGGTGGGGTTGGGGAGGGGGTGGAGGTTCTGTAAAAGGGACAGTCTCCAGATTTTAGATCTGCAGACGATGGCATGACTGTAATAAAAACTTTGAGCATTTGCATTACAAATGAAAACTTGTACCACTTGTTCACATCATACCTGGGGGCTGGACTGGGCCCCATTATGTTGTGGCTTGTCTCGCCAGATCGCTAAAGCGACTTATTTCATTAAGAAAGCCATGCAAGTATTATGTAATGGTAAGATTTCTCGGAAATTATAATTTAAGTGTCATATTAAAGTGTCAGATTCAGTATTGCTTGTTCTTTTTATTGTACCAAAGTAATGTTAATTTGGTTGCCATGGCAACCATTTTTCATCATTTTGTCCTCAATCAGGAGCCCAGATAAAGCATTCCTTTAACCTGTCACTTACCAACCAAAAAGTAGATCTATACGAATAAGTGCAGTTAAATTTACCATGTTTTTTTCCTGGAAAGAGAAATGGGCCTGCCCACCTGGGAACAGAAAATGATGGCATAGCTTCTAAGCGAATACCGGCACCCCCCTCTTTTTTTCGCTTGTTTGACTCTACAAACAATAGGCTGCCTACACAAAAAGAATGGACAATTTTCTATGTTCAGAAAAAAAGATATATAGGAAACAATAAAGCCAATACTCATTTTTTCATTTAAATTATGGTAACCATGGTAACGAATTAAGCGTAGTGCTTCCTCAACGTATGCGTTTTCGTACCAAAAGCCTTTTGAAAGTGTTATTCTTGTCCAACTCTAAATATGTATAACCTTATTTCGCACAATCAGTAGTATTCTGAGTGTTATTAGGCCGAATTATTTATATAGTCCATGGTGCAAGGCAGCGAACCGGAAGTGTCGAAAATTGCTTCAAAGGGGGTATGTTTGAGCCCTCGCAGCTCGTAAACGAATACCGGCACCCCCCTTTTTTATTTTGATTTCGAATTCCTAGTATGATGAATAATTAATAGACAAAATTTGAGAAAAAATCTATGTTAAGTTCTATTTCAGGGGAATGACCTTAATATAGGAATTGCATGATAAAGGAATAACATGTTTTCTTAAACAGTTCGGTCGCCAAATTGGAATTTCCTGGTCTGGTACCTAGTAAGGGTTTTTTTATGTCCCAGCGGCTCACCCCACCTAAATTTATGGCTGGTACCTCCCCCCCCCCACCTTTTTAGGTCTTTTAGGTGTCCTGGCCTAAAGGAAAGCTTTTTCTTGTGACGCGATATAAATTATATCAAGCATGGCCTTATACAAACCATGCAGGGATCGACCAGAATGCAAATGAACGCGTTCCAACAAGATAGAGATTTAAGTGATGATTGTAAGAGAAGAGGACATAAACAAATACGATAACAACGGAAAGCAAGTGTGCAGATAAAATTGATCTTGTATTTCTAGGGGTCAATGAATCCCACTTGGTATAAAGACCTGTAAAAGTTTTCTTACGAGAAATAGATGCAGAGAAGTTATGTTGATTATTCTGTCTTGGTTCCACTGAATATATATATATATATATTTTTTATAATTTTACTTTTATTGACAAAACACATATTACAGTTGCAAAATTTAAAACTAAAAGAAAGTATATAACGATATTACAGTTGGATCAAAATTACGTAAAGACGAGAAAGAATAATACAGCATTTGTAATAATTCGCACAATAACGTTAGACCTGCTAATTAACAGATTATTCTGGTAAGATGGATACTAACTAACTAAAAAAATAATTGAAAGAGGGGGTTTTTCATTGAATATGAAATCACCAGCGACTCAAGGATCAACAATCCTAAACATGCACGAATAGGTGATAATGGCTCCTGACATACGCAAGGAAGATGCAATATCAGGGGCACCCAACGACTGTTTTCTGTAAAACTGAAATATGGGTTCGGAGAAGCACATATTGTCTAGAATTTTCTTTTACTTGAGGACGGCAAAAAATTTCTAGATGACCGTTCCATTCACGTACAATTTTCGAAGCTTGTCTTATAAATTCCCTACGATTTTCTTATTAAAGTTTCATTTTCACATTTTTGTTCCCAACTTAGGCTATTTTTCGTACAAAAAGGGAACCGAAAATTTTCGGATTAAAAAATGTGGTGGTGTTAAGTCAGAAAATGTCTCACTTTCGTAGTACGTGAAATTTCATCTAAACATTTTCGGAAAAATAATACTCAAACCCTTGTAATTTCGAATAAAAGATTCAAGTTCCCCTCGGATGACCGAACAGATACAAATTTTATAGCGCCGCTTAGAATGCATTTCTAGGTATCTAAAAGTACTCTGGATAGCCTAAAAAAGTGTTTTCAATGTATTTAGGAGGACACCATATTTGGGTGCCTCTGACAATATCAAGAAAGAATGGCATTTTGCATATCGCGGGACCTGATTGGCATTTGTAGCGAGCTGCCAAGCTCAGTGATCTTTTTCTCTTCCCAAGAAAGCCTTTCATCTCAGAGATTCCGTATCTTCCTACGTTCTCTGGACTCGTCATGAAAAGATTGCCCTGGTCCCCCATCGCTTAATCTTCTTGCCGTGTAATGATCAACTTCCCGTTTTTTGTACTCAACCTCTTTTAGCCATTTCACAGAGTTTAGTTCCGTCTGTGACGTAGGCTGAACCTAGTCTGGGTTGTTTTTTGTTTTTCGTGCATCTTGGGAACTGGTATACCTGTGGTTTCCCTTTCTCAGTCTTTGCCAACCAATTAGTTCCCAGGGAATTGTAAACGATTTTGGACTTTACACCAGACAAATCAAAGCTCAAATGGCGGAGGGGGTCGTTACCGACTCGAACCTTCCTCTGTTTTCCGCCGAGGAAGTACAGCAGCACAGTACAGAGAAGGATGCTTGGATAATACATCGTGAAAGGTCTACGATGTCAGCGAATTTCTTGAACGCCATCCGGGCGGGAAAGTTATTTTACTTGCTTACACGGGCTTACGGTGTTGACGAAATAAAGAGAAATTACATGAACACACGACTTTTGGGCTGTGTGTAAAATTGGGACGGGGACAAGGGGACTGGGACATTGGGACGCTTGTGTGGGAACTTGGGGACGTGAGACGAGGGACTTGGGGACATCAACTACGGGACGCGGGGACGTGTGGGACTGGGACGAGGGATGTCAAATACAGGGACACGGGGGACACAGGGACGTTAATGAATGTCTCTTTCTTCGTGAAAATGTGTTATTTATGGTCAGTATTAGATTCCATCGTCCAGAACCACTTTGGATACCTTATGATGTTTACACAAAATATTTCCGTAAATAGGAGTAAGTGCACTGACTATTGTGATTAGGGTTAGGCTTGATTTCCACTGTCTCGTAATTTTTGCGTACGTGCGTAAAATTTACGTTCGCAAATAAAATGGAGGCAATTTATAAAAAGTCGCACTTAAGCGTAAAAGTAGAACCTCGCTTAACCTCACGTTTACGTTTTTTCTCAACACCTTATTTCTTGCCTCTATTTTATTTACATGATTAAAATTTACCTGCGTTCACGTGCGTAGCCAAAAACGCGTCAGTGTAAATCAACCTTTAAGTACTTTTAGAATTCATTTACTATTAAGTTTGCCACTAAAAATATGTAAAACAAAATAAATATTGTTACAATAGTTGAATCCCCCGTGGTGTAGTGGTACAGGCGATGGATTTCGGAGCTAGCACTTCGGGGTTTGAAGCTCGCTTAAGCCACTTAATTTATTTGGAGTCGAATGCTGCTATTCTATATAAATTTTGGCGACCGCAACCCACCCGACCCTGATTAGCGCTCCAATATTCCATCAGCACGAACACCAGGACAATGGTTTCACTTTCTTCAATGCAGAGGGGCTTTGCCAACTCTTGGCTTCGTAAACAGACATGGAGGAACCAAAAGGAGGGTAGGGTGGGTTGCCTTCACCAAAACATATTAACGAGGGAAGTCATTGATTTACCTCCGACTTTTGCTATAATCATTCACATCCCGCGTTCCTGTATTTGACGTCCCGCGTCCCAGTCCCACACCTCCTAGCGTCCCATACTTGATGTTCCCAAGTCCCTCGTCTCGCCTCCCAGAGTCCCCACACAAGCGTCCCAATGTCCCCGTCCCCTTGCCCCCGTCCCAGTTTTATACACAGCCCTTACGGCGCTACTTTTGAATTAGCTAGAAACAAAGGGTCGGTTATTTAAACGAGGTCTAACTTAGACCGCGGTTTAAGAAATCTTTGGACTTCCAGATCTCTTCGTTAGTGGGTCAATTTAAGAAGATAAATGCTTTTCTAGTCTACACTATATGCTTTAATGAAACCGTCCACGACAAATGGTGCTTAGATAAAATCGTTGGGCAAACTGAAAATGACTTAGAACACGGTTTTGGTAAACACTGGTTAAACTCCGTTTAAATAACCGGCGAAAGAGCTCGCACCGAAGGGTAGCCAGTTTTAATACCAAGATCTGTTGCGTATAATGCAAAAGACATCTCGATCATTTGTTAGTTTAGTTCGTGTAACTTTCAGTGACGGGTGAGTTTTGCTCTTGGTGGCCGAAATAATAATTGTTGAAGTAGTGCGTTTGGTATAGTTTT